ATTTTTATACATGTGTGTGCATTATAAAGAGAATGGTAAAGAGCTATGAGCAGCAATTTATGGGAGATGATAGAAGCTATTTGCTGATATGTGAGAGTTAATCAAGAATTGTTTCTTTTCAAGTGCAGCTGCCAAGATTTTGAAGCCTCTTGGTTGGCCACCCATGAGTTGATGTTTTTCCTATTGATCTGCAGTGCCGTGAGGCGGGGGAGGAAGGGGATAGAGATATCTGCAGGAATGATCACACTGTCAGGCCAAGGCAGCATCCTGCTGGAGTGACCCTGCTTGTTTCTGGTGTGTTTATGAATAATTCAGAAATTCCACGTCCTGGCAGTGGACAGGACAGCCTGGTGAATGTTGGTGTGCTCTTGCATAATAGTACCCAAACATGGTCAGGCATTGCAGGCAGAAATTAAAGTTTGTACACGGCACACACAAAATGCAACGGACTAGATTGCATTGCCAGGATGAATCTCTTGAGGTGCTCTTGAAGAATGTTGTGCTACTCTAGCAATTTTGAACAGAAAACATTTAAAAAATAAAATAATTTCACTGCTTGCTTCATGCAATTAAGCTGTTGAAGAAGCATTCAGTACGCTTCATTTTCTGAATGGTGACCAAAATTCCTACTTATTTCACCAGGTGAGAAGTTCTCTTTGGAGGATTCAGCTGTTATCAAACTAACAGCTCAGTGTAAGGTTGCTTGAAAGTTCTGTCAGATATTTTTTCTTCTTTTAAGTATATAAGTTAGTTTTGAGTCATCTAATGGAAATACTGAACAATCCCCATCCTTTAGGGCGGGAGGCTGGGAATATATTCATCTGGCCAGAGAAGTTGAGTAACTTATTTGCGTTAATGACCCATTTTGCCCGCTGAGGACTGAGCACATGCCTATTATAAAGGCATTTTATTATCCCTGGGCATGGTTTGAGAAGCAAAAAGCCAGAACGGAACCTTTAGTCCTCCTGAAAATTTGGTTGGGGTCACACCTAAATGCTGCTCTAAAGGTGGTATTTTGAAAGGATCCCATTACTGCTGCTATTAGAATCCCAAAGTTTAAGGGCAGCAGCAGCAAGTATAATTCCCTTGGGTATGACATGTGACTGCAAGGGGATTAAAATAGTCTCACTTTTGAATTGCTTTCATGTCTTTAAACACAGCTAAAATATGAGCAAAGATAAAAGTAAAATAAATCCTGTTATTTTGACTCTACTCTGAACAGGAGTTGCTAAGGGAAGCAGTTGGAAAAACTGCTTTAATACAGTGCTATTTTGGTGGAAATTATGCTTGTCACTGTTCTTACTGCATTAATGCACTGTTCTTAACGTGCATTAAGGAAGTTAAGGGTTTATGTAATGAGCCCGTTAAATATGAAGTTCAAGCTGCCTCACCATACTGTGTTTTTCTTGATGCACAATGCCAACTTCTAATGTATGGGAGTGCAGAAACGTTCCAGAGGCTGGTGGGGAATTGTACAAGTACATTGTTAGGGAACAACAGCATTGCAGGCTCAGAATGATGTTTTTGAAAGGTCCGTGCATAGGCGTCTCTCTTAGCCAAAGAGACGTTGTGACTTTTCACGTCAAGTCCAGCACCAGTTGGAGAGGTTTTGAGGATGAGCACACCTGTGCTTTTTGCTTACATCACCTGTCAGAATCTCCACACACCATATTTTTTTAAATGACTGAAGAAAATGGTAAAATTAAGTCACATCTATGCAACATCCTTCTTAGCTGGGTTTAGTCCTACAGCAGCAGCAGCGTTCATGCGTTGAGTCCATCGGGATTACGCAGCTGCTTTGCTTTTGAGAAACTAATTGTCTTTTGTGATTGTATCTACATAGTACAGCTGAAATAGTGAGAGAAAGGTGTGTAGTATCTAATGATCTGATTTGTAAAGAGAGACCTGTGATACAGGAAAAGTGTGACATCTTTTGATAGACTCTCCTTTATCAGACTGCTAAAGGAACGTTGGATAATGCAGTCCAGGTATTTTCTATGTGCAAAAAAAAATCTCGAGACAAAATTTCTGGTTGAGAACACCTCAATAACACAGAAAAATCCATTCACTTCTATTGATAGAAAAGAAACAGCAGCATTTGAGCTTTCTTTAATCTTCTTATGCTCTTTTAATAGCTCCAGTCTTGGCGATGCGTGTGCTGCTTTGACTCATATGTTTTATTGTGTCATACCACAGATTACAGGTTTTGTCCTGTGCTGTGTTGGTCTGTGGTGAAGCACAATCTTTCGGTGTCCCAAAGCCTTTTGCAGCTTTTTTCTGCCCACTCTGCAGCGTGAAAGAACTGCTGGCCACATGTGGCAGAGACCTGTGCTTAAAACAGGTTGAATATTTTGATGTGGCTACGGTTTACTATAATGGCTTTTTCTTCAGACGAGGTTGTGCTGAGAAATGATGCGTTACAAGAACATATTGACAATGGTACATAAAGAAATAAAACCAGCCTAATTTAAGAGCCCAGTAAAACTGACTGAGAACAGTTTTCAGTACTCTCTGTGCGTGTTCTTTATGCAGAAAGAATCCTGTGTCGCTGTTAATCTCTTTGAAACCTTCAAGTACTTTGTTGCTGTAAGTGTTGAGCTTGCCAACTTTTGGCAGATAATTATTTTGTTCTCTTCCAAACTGAACACATTCAATTCCATCTTCCCACTCAGAACAACAAATTCTTCTCAGGCATTTTTTTTTTTTTTTGCTAACAGTTCAATGAACACTTATGAGCAGGTAATGTTGTAATTTGCAAGTGTTCACAGGACAAATGGGGAAGCATCTTGAGGACTGAGATGAGAAATGCATCAATATGTGCAATGAAGGAGACTTGCAAAGGCTTGGCATAGAGAAGAATGCTTAGATGGGGAAAATTCATTGTGATCCAAAAGAAAAAATACTTTGGAAATAGTAAGAAAAATGTTGGATATCTACATCCCCTTCTAGCCTGTCTATAAAATAATTGTTGTAACATAAGGTCCTCAAAATAAAGTAAAATCACAGAATCGCACAGAATGTTAGGGATTGGAAGGGACCTTGAAAGATCATCCAGTCCAATTTCCCCAAAATGAAAATATTAAATGAAGCAATCTGAAAACCAGAAATACTTTTAAATTCTGCTTCTTCTGCAAATCTTTTCTTTTTCTATTTATTTAACTACAGTCAATATAGTTAAAATAGAGATTAATTTAGAAAGAATGGTGAGACTTATTCAGTGAGAGGGCTGAGACTGTAAAATGTAAAGCCTTCTGTCCAGAACAAGAGCCCCAGAAATGAAATAAACTTCCTATACCACATGAATAGGACCCATTCTCCCTTTCTCTTGGAGCTGTGAAAGGTTTTTCCCCACTGCTCGCTGTTGTGTTTCGACACTGATGCTCTGTCACTTCTATTGTGCACACATCTCTGAACCCAGAAATTATTTCTCTTCTTAATTTAAACAAAACCATCTGTGCACAGAGGGAAAGTTTGGAAAAAGGAACATGTGAACTAACTCACTGGTGGTACTTGTGGTACGTTACAGAGGAGCTCAATGAACTCAGGACACTCATGCTGCAAAAATAGTTTAAAAATATGCACAAGGGGGAAAAAAGCTGACACAGTTTCAGTGCATGGTACTAAATAACTAAATAGTAAGTGTCACTATAGTAACACTGCATTCAAACTATGTTTGAACACTGGTAACAAATGAAGTACTTTTATTCTTACAAAGAGAGAATTAAGAGATGTTTTCTCTTCCAGTGCCACCATCATGTGCTTTCTGCAGCTGCTGCTTATTCTCCTCCACACCCTCTCCCAGCACAGAGCTGTCTTCAGAGCAGTTAAAATTATTTTGAAAGGTCAGAGTGGATATTGTAGCTCATTTAAAGGGTTGTTTTGTGTTCTGCTCTCAGATTTACTTTATTTATGTTACTGAAGTTTTCTTCTGCATTGGGACACCTTGCAAATCCTGCCTTTTCACCAAAGCCAACTAGGTTTTGATAATAGCAAAAATGAAAGAATTCAGAATTTGGAAAGATGGCTATTGCTTTACTGCCACTGCATGAGGAAAAAAAGCCAAAGAGAAGTGGAGGGACACTAGTGACTATGAAAGAAAAGGAAAAAAAAAAACCCCAAAACAATCACCAGTTATGTTGTATTCTCCAGCCACAGTAGTTCTAAAACTAAAATTCAACAAGTTTACTAATAGGGCTAACTCAAATTTTCCTCTTCCCTGTTTTACTGATCCCAGATTCTTAACTATCCTTTCTGAGTGTGTCTGGTTGAATACCATCTGCCTGTGTGTCAAGTATTTAAGAGGTGAATTTATTTTCCTGACTATGTTCTTTAACCAAAATCAAAGCTATTGCTAGCTCTGCACTCTTGCAAAAATTTAGATTTTCAGAAGTATGAAATGACCTCATTGTATTGGAAAGACTTAGTGTGTGTTGTTGGACAAAATTGTAAGCTGATAAACTGCAGTGAAATCATTATGAATACTCTGTGCGTAGGGAGCTTGAGAGCTCTATTAGCTTAAGAAACCGGCTTTGAAATATTTTTATTAGACCTTTGGGAGCTGTATGGAAAACCCTCTAGGCAGCCTGGTGAAACACAGATAATTAGCATGTGGGTTTTTTTAATCCAACACATAATTTTTTTGTCTTGGGGTATTTTAGAACTAGAGGGTCTTGTTTTCCTGTTATTGCTGACAAGAGGGTTGTCACTGTACATAACGAACAATTTCCTTTTTGGAGGGAGGGGAGAAATGGGGTATTTTGTGTGTTGCTTTAAAAATAGTTTTACCTGGAAAGGGTTATGTTAGGAATGTATTAATAAATAGATTGTTTGGAATGCACTGTGACTTTTTTTCAGCTGTAATGTGGGCTACAGAAACGCTCAGTCCCTCCTGCATCAGGTTTGAAGGGCTCCAAATGCTGGTGATGTCAACGAAGGAGCCCTACACACGCCCTTGGGAATTAATCCTGATGATAGTTTTTCTTCTCTTTCCATCTTTATAGGCATATGAAAGAAGGTTTCCTACATGTCCTCTGATCCCCATGTTTGTAGCCAGTGACATTATCAACGAATACAAGAGTGATGATGAAGCTATCCATGTGATAGAACGGCGCTGTAAGCTGGATATAGACGCACCACGGTTATTGAAGAAGGTGATTAGGTTTGAAGTGCCTGTTTGATGCTTCTGGATTTCCTTTCACGTGAATATTGTAAGTTAATGGAATCTATATCATCTTCCTCAGATTTCAGGAGTGGATTATGTCTACTTTGTCCAGAAGAATTCTTTGAACAGACGAGAAAGGACTTTGCATATAGAAGCCTTCAATGAAACCTTCTCTAACAGAGTCATTATTAATGAACACTGCTGTTACACAGTGAGTAACGGGCTCTTGGTGATGCTACAGGTGGAGGAGCTATGTCAGCATTTAGATTTTAGGTCTCATACACAGAAGTTGGATTGTTCTTGGCTTTTGCCTTGCAAGAAAAAAAGAACGAAAACACCACCATGAGTGAGAATTGTTAGTGTTAAATGTAACACACTTGCTTGAAGAACTGAAACATGCTTGACACCTTCTTGCTTTGAGCATCTTCTCAGAGAGCAGAACACAACAGTTTGCTGTGTTTGACAGCTCTGTTTAGGCAAATCTGTGGTCTGTAACAGCAGCGTGGGGCTTGGTGAGGCCGATGACACCCTGACAGAACTGTTAAAGGAACGTTCAGCGTAGCTTACTTGCCTTCTGCTCAACTCAGACAAGTGTTGGAGTCAACTATGTTTTAACCTCATTCTTTCCATTGTGTCTGTTCTTGGTCTTCAGTGCAGACAGTTTCTGATAGAAAGAAGTCTGGTGGCTTGCTTGCTGCTATGCTCTGCTCATGTTTTTTTCTGAATGGCTTAGCCAGTACTCAGACTCACACAGCACACGTGTAGCAGTAAAATTTCAAATCAATGTTAAGAGGTCAAATCAAAGCTAGCAAATGTAACTGATTTCTCTGTATTGTGGCATTCTTTTTGTGTGCAGGTGATAACATTTTCTGTTGCATACAGAACTATGGTTAAAAGGTCACTGGATGTCAAACCCACTTGACCCTATTATCTGATTATTCTTTTATTTTTTTCTGCAATTATTTCCAAGGTGCACATTTAAAAATACTTTTCCACCTACAGTTTTTTTGTGAAAGCTCTGTTTAAACAGGGGAAATGCTATGCAGAAAAATACATGTGATAAACAACTACAAAACAACACTTCTCCTCGACCTTGCTCTACTCAATCAAGAAATTAGTAAATAAATATAAAACCGGGATTTTAATTCAAGCATAAATAGTTTTTAAAAGTTTATTCTTAGTAAAGTTATTTTATAATTGAAGTTATGAAAGGACAGGAAGATTGTTAAATGTTATTATGATTTGTACTTATTGAAGCTATTCTTGTGCCCCAAATTCCCTAATGCAGAAGAAGTAAATGAAGGGAAATGTTTGTTTGTTTTCTCTAGTTGTCTGGTGATAAAGTGTTGATACTGTGCACAGTCAATTTTAGCATGTTTTGAGGGGGAGGGGAACCTTAAGGACTTGCATGCTCAGAAATCCAGCCTTCTGGATATTTGTATAACTACAAATTCGGAACCCAGCCTGGAAATTCCTTAGACAAGTTTTTTTTAGCTGAAGAGAGTTTAGAAAGCAGCTTTCCTTCTGAGTAGTAACATCTCTGTTTCAGGATCATCTCTTTGCAAACTAAGATATAAGAAGAAGGTTGGGAGTGCTCTAAGAGCAGTGTTGAGCTGTCAGCCGAATGAGAAGTTTACTCTTCTTTCTGAAGCATTATCATAGGAAAACAAAGTAAAACAGTTTTCAATCTACAAAATACTGAAGTACTTGTTAGGTCGGTGAGGGAACAGTCTGTTTCAGTGTGTCTGTTGCAAACATGTCTAGGCTGCAGGGCTTGAAAATGCTTACGCTGTGCTTGCTGCCGTCTTGAAGCTAGCTGGCCTTGGTCTGTCAGTCCCACCTGCAGCAGCCAGAAGTTCACTGTGGAGTGTTTTACCTTTACGGACTGCAGCCCGTATCTAGAATGAGATAGTGACAGTTGTATAAATGTGCAGTCCTTTGGCTCTTGGCTGGTGCACTGGGATTTCTCTACTCTCTCCTTTTTTGTTAAGAAAAAACCCGTGCTGTGCTAGCCCTGAACCCGTAGGAAGGCTTCTCAGCTTTTTGTTCTTCAGTGTTACCTTTTCCAAACCGTGTTTTGCAAATGAAGCAAAAGATTGCAGATTCCACTTGAATGTTTTTGACTGTGTGAACCTGTAAAACAAGAAACAGTCATTTCAAATATTGTGAGGGGAAAAAAAAAAAACCTAAATGGGTAACTAATACCTTTTAATTAACAGGTTCATCCTGACAATGAAGACTGGACCTGTTTTGAACAATCAGCAAGTCTGGATATAAAATCTTTTTTTGGTTTCGAAAGCACAGTGGAAAAGATTGCCATGAAGCAGTACACCAGCAGCATCAAGAAGGTGAGTGTGCAGTCATGCAGGAGGAGCCTGGCTCTCAGTTACCAAAAGATAACATAGCTGCTGCCGAGTAACTGGCTGCTCTGCTCAAACAGCCGGGCTGTTTACTCTTCAGCCTGGGGCAGCGCGTGTGTCTAGGTCTGTATTTTCAAGTGGAATCTTTAGAGAGGTCTGACCACTTAGTGGGTTTCCAGCCCAATCCTTTCTGTGTCTAAATGGATGTTTTCAGTGGCTGAAATAAATTTTCCTTTTTGAAGGGAAAAGAAATAATAGAATACTACCTGAAGCAGCTCGAGGAAGAAGGAATAACTTTTGTTCCTCGTTGGACTCCTCCTGTTGCATGTAAATTGGAGAGCAGCACATCCCACACAAGGCAACCAATTTCACCTGCTATTAATATACCAGACTCTGCAACAAAGGAGGGCTTAAGCAGTAAGGAGATCCTCAACACCTCAGGCAGCCCCACAGAGCCCACAGCAGGAACGCCTGATGGTAGGTGGTCTGGCATGTTTTAGCAGGATTCTTTGTACTGTAGAGGCTCTCAGCACTGTGCTGCTTCTCATGGGCAGCTGAAAAATCTTCACATTGGCTCTTTGTTTGGTAATGTACAATGCTAAAGTGCAGGTTTGCAAAGCAGTAACGTGGGATAGCTTGGATAGCTGTTAGGAGCTGGTCTTTGTAGTAAGTGAAGAGCAGAGATGAGTGGAAAAAACCTTGATTTTGCTGTTCATTAGATTGCAAATGGATGGCCTACTTCTTGCTCTGAAATTCAGGGATGGGTATAACTATAGGAATAATGAGGAAGATAGGGCTGAAGCTTCCCTGGACACAGTCTCTGTTATATCTTCCTTCCCCTGTTAATAAGGGAATTTGGGAAAATTCTTGCACTGGGAGATTTAGATCAAAGCTGCTCTTAAGTATTTCAAGTAAGCAAGCTGTATGGTGCTGTGGTTTGACAAATCTGAATATACTGGCAAAATGCTTTTATAAATGCCTGGTTTTACTTCTTAGTAAGTTGCAGAATGAGAATTAATCTTCTTGGTTTAACATTAAGATGACTGTGTATGTTGCCTTACTCATCTTTTAATTGATGCAAATAAACTTTATTCAGCTCTGCCTGCACAGAACACAGAGCAGCTGCTTCCCTGCCTCAGATATCAGTATATGGGATCATTTGCTACTTTGACTAGGTCAGCTCAGGACCACTCTAACCACATGTCCATCTCCTTCTAGACAAGCTAGACGCAGACTACATCAAGCGTTATTTGGGTGACCTGACACCGATGCAGGAAAGCTGCCTCATTCGGCTGAGACAGTGGCTGCAGGAGACGCACAAAGGCAAAGTAAGTTACTCTTGGTCTCTGGTGGCTCTGTCTCAGAATGTGTGATGTGTGAGGTGGACCTGATGAAACATCATGCTACACATCCTGTGGCTAACTGCTCCTGGCAAGTGGTCCTCCATGATCAAAACAGAATACCTAAATTAAGTCTATACAGTGGCAATAGACGTTGTTTATGTGACTGTCCAGCTGACTGATCATTTAAGCCAGTGTGACTGCCTCTCAGAATGTCAATAAACCAGCACAGGGGAATAACATCAGTTTTATAAGGCTGCCTGGTTCTACAATAATCTTATTTTTACCTTTGTTTGTTTTGGCCAAACATCATATTCTCAAATCTGTGTCCCTAGGTGCAGTACTGAAAGGGAAGCAATGTGACCAGTTAAATCATCATCAGTCACACCTTCCTGATCTAGTGGAAGGTGTCCCTGCTGATGGCAGGGGGATTGGAACTGGATGATCTTTAAGGTCCCTTCCAATCCAAACCATTCTATGATTCTATGATTGAGAGCAGGGCTGGGGGTTTTCCAGTGGCTTGTGATGGGCATGTATGTCTCAGCTTCCTTTTACTTAGCCATGAAGTACAGTCTATGTCCCTGCTGATGGCAGGGGGATTGGAACTGGATGATCTTTAAGGTCCCTTCCAATCCAAACCATTCTATGATTCTATGATTGAGATTGAGGCTTGTGATGGGCATGTATGTCTCAGCTTCCTTTTACTTAGCCATGAAGTACAGTCTATGTTTCACCCCTAGGTTCATTGAAATTGGACTGACTTAGCATGGTCATACAGGTGTAAAAGATTGCATTAGAGTTCATTAAATGTGTATATCCCTCATGTGATGGTAGCTGCAGTACCTAACAGGGCTCGTGTTTTTGTTGCAAACAAAGACTTGATTTGCTTGAGTAACTTCCAGTGTTACACACCATCCTCTTGCATTGGTGCAGGGCTGCACATTTTCACCTTCTGTTGGTTTTTGTTCTGGTTTCAAACCTTGAATACAAAATCTGGTTTATTGGGTGTTTTTTAATAGATCCCAAAGGATGAGCACATTTTAAGATTCCTGCGTGCCCGGGACTTCAACATTGATAAAGCAAGAGAGATCCTTTGCCAGTCGCTGACGTGGCGTAAGCAGCACCAGGTAGACTATATTCTAGACACCTGGAACCCTCCTCAGGTACTCCAAGATTACTATGCAGGCGGCTGGCATCACCATGACAAAGGTATGTTCTATAGGGTGGATATTGAACAGCCTTTTTATGTTCTGAATTAAAGGTGATGGTTGTCCCCCTATTAGCTAGAGGTGACTGGAAAGACTGTTAGAACTTCCCAGTTGTTTTGTACTAAATGCATTTAAATTGATGTTGCCAGCTCCTTTGTTGGTGGAGGCAGACTCCTAGGTCCGAATCTTTTTGCCTAATACTGACATATTTAACTCTCTGAAGAGTTCTGCTTTGCCACTAGCTTTAAAAAGTTATTAATTGCACTTCTGTAGTGCTCTGAGATGCTTAGAAGGGTGTTATACAAATGCTGAGTATTCTCTTTCAGTGATTAAAAGATGTTTGTAAATAAGTATGTCTTTCTAATCAACTTATTTCTGATGTTGTGCAAGGCTGCTAATAGTATATGTGAATACTTATTTGGCAGTACAATTAGCTTAATGATGAGAAGTGGGATGCTGCAAAAACATCCAATAGAGCAGGTTTATTTAAGAAGGGAAGCAGCTTTGGCTGAATTCCCTGTGTTTGGCGAGCCACAGCCAGATCTTTAAAACACAGATGACTATGCCTGACATGCTTCCTTATCCCTCCACTTGCTTTAACATGCACTGATCTTGTTGCTAATACAACACAGAAATGAAATGTTCTGGAATTTTTTGCTTGAGGCAAGCTGGGCTCTTTAGATAAGGAAATGATCTCTCACTGTGAGCTATCTGAGTTCTGATTTAGTCTTTTCCTTACTAGGCTCCATTGTTTTTGCTATCTCTTCCTGTTACAAGAAGTGTATGAAGCAGGACAGGATGCTGTCGACAGTAGTGGCCAGGAGACAGAGAGGACACAGAAGTTTAATCGGTGTGAAGCTGAAGAGCTTGAATGGCTCTCCCCTGCTGCTTTGGGTTTGACAGACCTCAAACTGAGAAAGTGGAAAATGAGAATATGCGTGTAAAGATTGTAGAGAAAAAGACCTGTGAATGAGTTCTCCCTTTCTTTCAGTTCCTTGTCCTTACTTTGCAAAGACTTCTCTGTCAATAGCTCGTAACTGGGTCCTTGTCAGTGAGTAGAAAGGTACAGAATGCATCACAGGGTTGTTTCATGTTTTTCTGAGAAGTTCTTCAGTCTTGTGTTGACCTGCACACTCCCCTCCCTTCCCATCCAGTTCCTTTGATCTCTTTTGCAGCATGCCCACAAGTAAAGCATGGGTTTGTCAGAATTGCAGAATTTCAAAACTGAGCAATTCTCTGTAATTTACAGTGGTAGGTTCTTTTTTTAAACCTTCTTTTCCAGTATTGTTCCTTTCCTCCTACACGTGCTAGATGTGCCAAACTTAAGCTAGCTGGGTTCCTTACAGCTTTTATCACTAAAGCAAAGGCAGCAGTGGTTATGAGGCACATTGTCTAGAATGAGCTGTTACTGCAAAAGAATAAAAGTTATTATTTTTGCTTTCAATTAGCACAGTTTTCTGTACATCTGAGTGGCTTTTATTTTGACATGAATGCTTCAGTCAAATGTTGGCGTTTTTTTTAAATCACAAAACTCTAATAAGATATAAAATATACAGTGATAATACAGCACTGTCAGCTGAGACTTTCCCTCGTGTCATTTGGGTGGACCAGGGTTAGTAAGCTCTTAGTTTGGTTTTGGATGTGTGTGCATCTGTGAGGGAGGGAGGGAGACCTGCTATGAAGCTTAATAGCACTTTTTGTTGAGTGTTTCAAAAGCTAAACAGTACATTCCCAGAGAAGTGTGTGCTGATGTTAAAACAACATTTTCTTTTAGACCACCTGATAAAACACAAAAGACTGAACTTTCATGGAGTTCAGTGTCTTTACCAAATAAATAACTTGCCTTGACTCTGCAGTTTTGGTTGTTAGGATTTTTTAGCATATTTTTACAGTTTCTTTCCTCGTGTCTCAAAGGACTTAATGATAATGAGTCATTGACTCAATGGACTTAATGGACTCAAAGGACTTAATGATAACGAGTCAAATAAGAACTCTTTTTGCAGTTCTTGGAGGGAAGTGAAACTAAACAGACAACAGGACTTAACGGAGATTTTTATGTAGAAAGTTCGGGTTTGGTTTTTTTAATTTTTTATTTTGTGTCCTAGCATATTCACTTTTATAAGTTGGTGATTATTTAGCTTATGTACTAGAATAAGATGGAGCAAAGCTTAAAACAGATGCATCACAGCTTTAGGACAAGGATGAAAGCTGTTTCAGACACCTAGCTTCTGAAATGAACCAGAAATGCAGGCTTTCATTCTCAAATTCAGCCAATGCAGTTGTTGAGCTTAATGTTTTTGTATCCTGGGCAGTGTCAGGATGCCCCAGTGTGCAGGAAGATGACCATGAAAAGGCAAGGCTTGGAATGCTGAGGGTACATCTGAAGCTGTTCTCTGGACCTGAGTCTGTTCTCACCAGGCTTGACCTGCATAAGTACGGCTGTGTGCCAGCTCCGCATCATACGTAATGACACAGCTTCCAGCAAATACTGCAGAAAGCAAGCAAAGTGTGAACACTTTGTTTCACTAATTTCCAGAACTCAGGGTAACTACTTTTCCAGACAGATTGCTGTGAGCAATCCAGAGCATCATGTGTGATAGAAGGCTTGCAACCTTCATCCCAGCTCTTCACTTACACTGATGGACTAAAGGTTCTCCTGTATCTTAGCTGTCCTGGAAGCTAATTATAGTTCTGTGTCTTTAATTGTGTGTACCAGGATCTTGTGAGTACCAATGTACTTGTTGAAGTCCTTTGAATTTTCCTTGCTATTTCCTTGCTTTAGGGGAGCTATTTCTGCATCAAGATGTCTCCATTAAACTTTCACAGTCCATTTACAGGCAATCTTTTGGTGCAGCTGGGCAGGGTGAAGTTTTATCTTGCCATCTGCTCCAGGTTCTCCCTCTTCCAGCTCTACAACAAAGTTTGAACTTATTATGGCTTGTTTCCATTTGGATTTTTAGCATGAAACTAATTCACTCAAATTGTCAATTGCTGTAAAAATAAGGGTTATGTTGATGTATTTGTTCTTGTTATTCAGATGGCCGTCCACTGTACGTGCTGAGGTTGGGACAGATGGATACTAAAGGCTTAGTACGAGCTCTTGGGGAAGAGGCCTTGCTTCGATACGTAAGTATTTTTGGAGACAGCAAGTTGCTAACAATGTGATATTTTCATTTAGAAGTTTCCTCCTCTGCCAGAACATTCATCACTCGAGATATTTTGATGTACTCTCTGGCCGTCTGTTTTTGGTTTGAATACATCTGCAAGCTCCTGGTAGCTGATCTGCTGCATTCTTTCCAACTGCAAAGTGATGGCGGAAAGGCGTAGTTCCTGGCAGCTCCTGTAGTTATTGGGTAGCATTTTTACAGATTCTTCTGCAGTTTTTGCAGTGCTTCAAACTTAAGTCTCTGCATTTGTACAGAAGATAAAATGCCATGCTCAGATTTTGTCAAGCCTGTGCTCTAAGGATAAGAATAATTTCTTTTTAAAGAAAAAGTACTTGCATCTAATTTTGCCTTCTCTAAAGGCATCACTCAGGCTGTGTTTTTGTGGATCTGCTCAGTTTCCAAGCAGAAAGCTGGCAGAATTCCAGATCTGCAATTTTTTTTTGGACTCCTAGTATGGCAGTCCTGGCCAGAGTAACCACTAGAAGCAGGGACTGGGTTTTACTTTTTCTCTTCTAGTGGCTTTTCCAGTCGCACACTAAACTTTGTTTGCCATAGTTCTGTTTCAGGGTTGCTTTCTATGACTTAAAAAGAGGCTTTAATTTCTGAGTAAACATGAAATCAGTGCTTAAAGGGGCGGAAGTGTAGGGAGATGTCTTGTCTGTATCACTCCTGGGTCTCAGTTTTCAGGAGGATCTTGCTTATGTTTTACTGCTTTTATGGAAAGGTATGTTTATTTTTCAACAAGATCAACCTATGGGGTAAACAATGGGATTTCTAGTTCATTCTTTGGGAAAAAAAATTGATGCTGGTTTGAGCTTGTAGTTTTAATTAGTCTTTGAATATAAACATGGGGTTTTTTATCCCATCTACTGAGTTAAAGACTGTCTTCTCTAAACCACATGTTTTCTTGTACAGGTTCTTTCAATAAATGAAGAAGGACTGAGACGATGTGAGGAGAACACAAAAGTTTTTGGCAGGCCAATAAGGTAAAATACAGCCAGTGGGTCTGCAATTTGGGAATTACCTGGTTTCACAGTGTGTGTGGGGGAACATCAAACGATGTGATGCTGCTGAGCAAAGTTTATTAAAGTGGAACAAGCACAGGGTAGGCTCTGTGTCTTGCATGAAGACACAAGCACAGGTAGAGTTGAGGGAGAGCCTCCCCAGTTACCTCTGGAGTGAACCTGTGTGGTCAAGCCTGAGGGAAACTCAGCACCCGCTCCAGCAGCCTGTGCCATGCTCATAATGGCTCTACATGGGGGGTGTTCTGTTTCTAATCTCTTCTGCTGCTGGGGGTCTTGCAAAGCAATGCAGCCTACCTCCCATTCTTGGTTTGGGAGATTTTATAGACAGATGTTGGTACAGGCTGCCAAAGAAATTCAGGCCATGATAATATCATGGATAACTTTTCCTGTAGTTTCAGGTATTGTTTTCTTGTCACTTGTTCATCCACAGTCTGTACCAAGGCTCATTACACTCAGTTCTTGTTTGCATTCTCCATTTATTATATGCAGTTACTCAACTCTTGATCCAAGGTGAGGTCATGAGACTCCTGTGAACCTGGGATCTAGTTTCCCAAGTACTGGCATGACTTCATGTGAAGTTCAGTCAAAAATGGCTTTCTATCCCATCCACAAGTCATGGTAGGGGTCACTTATGAGAGTGCTAAATGCAAAATGGATTTAAGGGTGTGGAATGAATGCAGGGCTGGTGCTGACAAGAAACAGAGTTTCTTGGACTCTTTTCAATTTCTGACTCCCTCCCTTACTCTGTAAAGGTTCAGGGATGCATGGTATGTCTGCTTATCTTTTCCCTGTTAAAGAACTCGGTGGGAGGTCAAATCCAAGAGGTGGGTTTCATCTGTGTTCCTATGAAATTGTGCTGCCTAGTGGACTTAATTGGTAGTAATCCTAAGGACTAGGAAGTAATCCTAAAGGACTACATGGTAAACATTTATAGTGAAACACAGAAGTGTTTGCTGTTGCACAGAAGCCTTGTGCATCATTTCAGGTACAGCATCATGCTGGTACAGCACAGCTGTACATCTTGAATTCGTGCCCAGGACATGATCTGAACTTGGAAAGTAACTAAAGCATATGCTGAAGCTCAGTATTTAGAATTAAGAACATACATCTTTCCTATAGAAAAGAGATCTTTGTATGTACTCTGTAACTGTGCTTGGCCCACTGAAAGACATTTCTATTCTAAGGATCTTAAACTCCAGAGTCTACAGGTAGCGCAAAGCAAGGAGGTAAAATAGAAGAAACCAAAATCTGCAGCAGGGTCCACCATTTGGGTACATTGGACAGTTGCATAAGAGAGGAGAATTTTGATGCCATTGAGGTGTTTCTTTTTGTCTTTCTCAAATTCAGCTCTTGGACCTGTCTAGTAGATCTGGAAGGCTTGAACATGCGACATTTGTGGAGACCTGGTGTCAAAGCATTGCTAAGAATCATTGAGGTGGTTGAAGCTAATTACCCTGAGACTTTGGGTCGTCTTCTAATCCTCAGAGCACCTCGAGTATTCCCAGTTCTTTGGACACTGGTATGTTTGTAGTTCCAGGCATTCCTCAGCTCTCACATTTGTAGTTTGTAAAAGCGCTTTGGAAATTGGGCTTTATAAGCAGGAAATGTTACCATTTGGAAACATCTTTTATGGGATTTCTGGAATGGATTTAAAAACACTGCCTAAGAACTTGCTTACATAATTGGTTAATTTAGCTTCTTTATAACATGAACTTTGCATAACAAGGATGGAAACACTTAATGTGATCAAACTAACTCCTTCAGAATTGACTCAAGGAAAATGTGGGAGCCTAATCTATTCTGTTTCTCTTTGTTTGCAGGTTAGTCCATTCATTGATGACAACACTAGAAAGAAATTCCTTATTTATGCTGGAAATGACTACCAGGGTCCTGGGGGACTGCTCGATTACATTGATAAAGAAATTATCCCTGATTTTCTTGGTGGAGAGTGCATGGTATGACTAAAAACTAGTGCATGTAGCAACTTGTGAGGTTTTTTATTCCCCTGCTCCTCTAGAAAAAAGAAGCCTAGATGTAGTTTGGAGGTGGGAGCTATGATGTAGGATTCCAGGCTTAGTGTTTTCTCCTGGATCGACTTTAAAAAGTACAATACTTCTTTATAATGAATACCAAGTAACTTCTCAAAGTAGGCAGATATAGTTAAAAGCTGTAGTCCCTGTTACCTGTCAGGTTCAAGCAGACATGGTAGCACAGCAGTGAGCAGGAGCTGTCACCATCAGCTCATCAGAAGAGTCTGTTTCACCTAAAAGAACTAACTGGGACCACCAGGAGCCCAAGGAAATACGTGGCACATCTGCTACCAAACAGCCAGGTCTCCTAGCTCAGGATGTGCATTCACCCACAACAAACAAAAAATGGTTTTACTGCAGGATACTGTGATTTCTCAGTCCCTTGTCATGTGCCTTGGTAGCTGTTTCCTGCCTAGACCATGGGTGTTGGTTGAATCTGGCATTTTAGTATCTCAGTGATACTGTAAGGTTTGTTTTCTCTGTAATGTTTTTGACAGCACAGGCTCACTGGTGTGACTGAGGTGTAGGGGTGCAACTCAGGCATTTTCTAGACCCTCTGTCACAGGAACACTTGGATGATTTTTTTTTTCTGAACTCAGCTGTGTTAAAATAAAATTTCAGGCTTAAGTTTTAAGCCCCTGTACACTTTCTAGCTTAACTTCTGTACCATTCTTGAAAAATTCATCTAGGTCTTTTCAAACACAGTCTCAAATGGTAATGAAGTGCTGTTAGATGTGATGGAGTAGAGCATGTGTTTATCTTCAGTGGGCTGCTTTTTGCTGCAGCAGTAGCTGTTAATGGAGAGAGTTTGTGCTATCTAACTTGGAGCTTGAGAGCTTGGAGCTTGGCAAAATCCTGGCTTAAGTCAGCAAAAGTGAATGTGAGCAGAAAGCAAATTGCTACAGCGCTTCCTGCCGATAGAGTCGCTTTCTCTTTACTTCTGGATATTTGAACAAAAGTGACTCCTCAAAGATCCTTTCAATTCTGTGTTGTAGTTTGGTTATCAAACTCTTCTACTGCCCCAGACACTTCTGTAGAACCTATTCCTGATCAGATCGTTGTCTAACTTCATTACTAGAGACTTCTTTAAAAAGATGATTGCCTGGGGAAGTTGTGTAATCGGTTCCAGTACTGACCTGTCCAGGCAGTTTTCACTTCAAAACCGTTACCTTCCTGACTGCAATATCCTTTTACCTTTTGGAAACTTACTGTATCTCCCCACCATCCTTCATCCTAAAATTTAGCTACCCCAGTTCTTTCAGGTCCCTGGAGGATATGTTTTTTAGACTGAGTTGCTATTGCCACTTTCCTCCGGATTCCGAAGTGGCTCACATCTTCCTTAAGTGTAGGGCAGTATGAGTGATAACTACAGCATTTGCACCATCATTTTCTGTGCTGGTGGCTGTTGTGTGTATGCAAGATCTCTTCCTCTGGTGTCTAGTTCTGCAAACTCACCTAAACCAGTTCATTGTATAATAACTTTATGTATGTATGAGGTACAAGCTATAGAACCAGTTTCAAACTCTGTTCATGTCTCATTCTTCAGAGTACTTGCCGAATGGGAGTTTGTGTTTCTGCAGCTAGCAGACAGAGAGCAGGACAGGGTGTGGGTGTACAGAGGGGATGGGTAGTTTTTAATGGCTGTTTGTGTCTTCAGTGTGAAGTACCAGAGGGTGGGCTGGTTCCCAAGTCCCTCTACCGGACAGCAGAAGAATTGGAAAATGAAGACATAAAGCTCTGGACTGAGACAATCTACCAGTCTGCAAGTGTCTTCAAAGGAGCTCCGCATGAGGTATGGCTGCAGCCTACCCTTCCTTTCTTTCATCTCAGCCTTCTGCCCTGGACTGAAAATGGTTTAGCACTTGATTATTTTCTTGCTGTGCTTCCACCTTGTACTTCTGTAGTTCTAGTGCATAATGATGCTTTAGTAGCTGAAGTTTTTGACCATTTCTGGTATCATCTTGTTGTCATTTAGAGAGTATTACTGGTTTTTACTCTATTCAAATCAGTGTCCTTCTAAGCAAAGACAAATGATACTCTCAGAAGCTACTTGAGAGCTTCTGAAAGTCATGGGTCAAATAAGGACACTCCATCAGGAGAGAATATGTATCTACACTGCCTTTTTAAATGTCTAAATTAAACCCACCAACAGAACCTCTGGGTTTTGTCATCTTTCTCGGGTAAGAGTTTCTGTCTTTACTGAGCAAAGTGCTATTTTCTAATATGACGTTTCTGTCTCAGGTGCTCATTCAAATTGTGGATGCCTCATCTGTGATCACGTGGGATTTTGACGTGTGCAAGGGTGACATTGTTTTTAACATCTTTCATTCCAAAAGAGCTCCACAGCCTCCTAAAAAGGAATCTCTGGGCGCTCACAGTATTACATCTCCTGGTGGGAACAATGTCCAGTTGATAGACAAAGTCTGGCAGTTGGGGCGTGATTACAGCATGGTGGAGTCTCCTCTTATCTGCAAAGAAGGGGAGAGTGTGCAGGTAAGACTGCTGAATCCTCGTGTGGGAGCAGATGGAAGCTAGCTCCAAAACTAAATGTTCTCATTCACAATTGTTATTGATGCCTGAGTGGTGATTCAGCTCCGCACTGTCTGCTTGCTTTTGGCCGGCATTTCAGCGTACGTTCCGAGCTGCATGCTGCAGGGAACGGGGATGGAATTTACATGGGATCTGCTGTGAGGGGAGGTTGCATCAGCCCAATACTGACTGAGATGGATCAGCAATGAATATAGGGCAGCCACCTAGAATGTAGCACACATCCAGAAAGTAGCAAGGTGCACTTTGGGCTGTAATTTTGACTGTTACCTTCTGAGCAGACAGTTGGCGTTTGAAGAATATCATAGTGTCTTCAGTAATGAGAGAAGTGTGGAAATTAAGACTGAGCTTCTGTGTGTTTGTCCCTCTGACAGGCACCTCAAGGAGCTCCCTATGGCCAAGGATCCTGAAGTTGTTGGTTTTTTTTTATTTTTATGGCATTTGCAACCTATCCTTTAATTACCAAATTTGATATTACATGCAGCATGTTTGCAGTCACACTCTGCCACTGCTCTTCCCTTTGACTTGAAATAAGAGTTGAACAGCCTTTGAAAAAGGAGCTCCTTAAATCATCTGATGGGAAGTGTTAATCTGGAAATATAGGCAGTGACCTCTTGAACTGCACTTTCTTTCTCAGAGGCAGGAGCCTTGACTGCTCTTTTCAATCTCAAAGGACAGCTGTTAATGAAACTAAATGGAAAAAAAAATGATAGTGTTTTCAACATGAACTTTGTCCTTTCAGTGTATTTAAATACTAACCCCTTGACACTGTTAAAAAGCAGGAGGAATTGCTGGCATTCTGACATAATTTTATAAGCATGCTGTTTGGGGAGAGTTGCCTGGCACTGCCGTTATGCTGAGGAACTGAAATGTTGGCATTGGGCAAAAAAATTCTGGGCATGTAGGCAGTTTTTCTAAGATTGGAAAAAAAATTTCAAGCCTACAAATCTTTGTGTTAACAAAGTTAATGTTCAATTTTTGCTGCGGCTGCTTCCAGGGATCGCATGTGACCAGGTGGCCTGGCTTCTATATTCTCCAGTGGAAATTTCATAGCATGCCTGCCTGTGCTGCAACCAACCTGCCTCGTGTGGATGATGTCTTAGCATCTCTGCAGGTCTCCTCTCACAAATGTAAAGTGATGTACTACACAGAAGTAATAGGATCTGAAGATTTCAGGTATGTCTGGCTGAGGTTCGTGAAGGTTGGCTGATGTCAAACCTTTCTGATACTTTAGATGATCAAGCCAGCGTCAAGTTCACTTAAATTCAAGTAAATTGGGAGGACTTGTGTTTTCTTAGGCCTCAAAAAAACCCAACCCAATCAACCAACAACCAAACAAAGAAAACAAAAAATTTCAACCAGTACTGGCACCGGGGGCAACTAGTGTATAAAAGGGGTTAATTAGTTATCTCATTGTGATCATCATTGGTCACTTTGCTCTGCTGGGAAAGCGTTGTGTGAGTTGTTGGGCTTTGGCAGGTTGTCACATTAAAATGACTGCAACTCAAAGTGGCATTGAGTCAGTTCAGCTCAGTCTCCTGGGAGCTGATCTACTTGACTGAAACTATTTCTCAGTCCTTTTGAACTGCAGCTGGTTTTTGCAAGGCCTTTGGCACCCCCATTGTCATTGTGGTGAGGCAGAAAAGCTTTTGACTGTCTGCACCAAAACCGTTACTTGCGTTTGATTCAGTTTGAGAACAATTACAATATAAATTGCAAGGCGTTTGACACCGTCCCACATGA